TTTTATGCCATTTTGTTTTGTTTTGAGACCCACTGAACTAACCTTGGGTGGTGAGGCTATGAGTTTGAAACTAACTATTGGATCTGGGTGGGCTCATCAGTAGATACAAAACTGAAGACAATGCATACCCTTCCTCTAGAATTCATCAGTGGCTAATAGTTCAGCAGGGAGGGTAGGACATTCCCCAGTTGACTACCAACAGGCCAGGTGTCTGCAGGTCTAGTACAGACAGTGAGATCATAACAGCATTGCATAATCCTACCCAGAAGACAGTATTTCACACCCTTTTTCCCTGTCCTGAAACTCTTACATTCTTTGTGTCATTCTCTATGATGTTCTCTGAGCCTTAGATGGGGTGACAAAAAATGTTCTGTTTAGTGCAGAGGACTCCATCATCACTTATTCTCAACACTTTGTGCAGCTCTGGGATTTTACATTCCCCAATTTTCATTGCAGAGAGAGGCTTCTCTCTATAAGGCTCACAGTAGCATCTGTCTATGCCTAGAAACACAAATATTTTCACATGCTCTTTAACCCAGTGGACAGTAGTAAGTGACCTCTGTCCACAGTGAGGTTGATGAAGTACAGGTAGTATCAGCTTTGCACTTTAAGCTTAAGAAGTTCACCATGATTGTGAGAGGCAGTTTACTGTTCTGACCTGAAATACCCTCTGTCAAAGAAATTAAGAAATACTGTTAGTCATTGGTGGCATGTAGGCAGTATATTGAAGGGGTAAAATCTGTTGATTTCCAAGTATATTTTATTTTACTTAAAACAATCAATTTATGATGATTGTGAGTATTCTGCCGTCTCTTATTCTCTGCATACTGACCAGTTGTGGGTCTCCGTGTTAATCAGCATCTACTGCAGGAAGCTTCTCTGGTGAGCGTTGAGAGATGCACTAACTTACAGTTGTAACAAGTCATTAGGAGCCAGTGTAATACCATGTCTATTTAACAAAATAATAGTCGTAGGCTCTCCGCTAAGTCCTGTGATCTGTCTAGCCACAGGCTCTTGACCTTGATAATAGTGCCAGGTATGAGCTCCAGCATGTAAATCAGACCTGAAATCCAATCAGAAAGTGCTTGATTATTTCCATAACATTTGTATCACTGCTGCACCAGTGGGTATAACTTGTTAGGCAAGTGTTTATTGGAGCTCACAGTGTTCACAACAGTCTGATGATTACTTTTATCTTTTGGAAGCATGAGAACCACCTTCCAGAACTATGAAAGCCAGGCAGGAGAGATGAAACTTAGAAGTCAGTACTGTCTTGGTGTCTCCCTGTTTGGTCTACAACTCACATACGTAGTGTGTTCAGTGACAATGTCTTACAAACTCTGGGTGATAACCAAAAGTAGTAGCAGTAGCCAGTATTGCTTGACTCCAAGTGAGCAATTCCATCATTGGTAATACTTTTAATTTGTTAGACTATGGTGTTTGGCAGGTGAATTTTCTTCCTGTTATGAGATAACACCATTTAAAATCTTTTTATAATGTATATCCATAAAGTTTAAGAAGCTTTTATTGCAGTAGGTTTCCATTTATCTTTTAAAAAGGTCTCCAGTTTTAGTTATCCCTCCCCATACTCTCTCCTCCACCCTGCCTTCCCATTCCACACCCCCATTTAGCCATTCCTAATTCATTACTTCCCTTTCTATGCTTTACATCGCTATGTCCTCTCCCATGAAGCACTGACTTGCATGGTTGCTTACTATTTTTCTGACCTCTTTAGATTTTCCAATTGAAACACTTGTATCTAAAGATTCAAAACTAGTATCCACTTATGAGAAAGAACATACATGTTTGTCTTTCAGGGTCTGGCTACCTCATTTAGAATGAATGCTTCCAGTTCTATCCATTTATCTTCAAATTTAATAATTTCATTTTTCTTAACAGTTGAATAATATTCCATTTAAATGTTAAATGGAATATTCCATATATATCTAACCATTTTTTTTCATTATCCATTCTTCAGTTGATGGGCATCTGTGTTGTTTCTATTTCTTGAATATTGTGACAAGAGAAGCAATTAACATGAATGAATAAGGTGTAGATTCCTTTGATATGCCCAAAAGTGGTATGGCCAGATCATGTGATAGGTCCATTTCTAGTTTTTAGAAGCCCTCAAACTGATTTCCATAGTGGCTGCACCAATTTGCACCTTCACCAGCAGTGAATAAGTGTCCTGCTTTCCCCACATCTTCCTTAACATTTTGGATAGGGAATGTTCAGAGTAAAAAAGATGCTTTTGAGAGAATATCTAATTTTATCTCTTAATCAAAACATTGCAATATCAAGTTTATACTCCTACTCAAAATTCTTCAGTAACATTATTTTAATGGGTTTTAACTATAACTTTAGAAAATACTACATTAGAAAAGTGTACTCTAAGAATTCTAGGAATGTCTGTACTGGCAGCCATGCAATGAGCACTAACATTTTTTACTAGTATATGAAAAATAAGTCAGTGGACAGAATGTGAAGAAAATAGCAAAACGATTGATAGAAATGGACTACCTCCTTCTCTAAACATATAAGCATATGGAGCTAAAAATTTTGTTCGGTAGATGCACTGAATTTTAATTGCCTAGTATTTTTCATAAAGGAGAATATGTATTTTCTAGGACTTAGAATAGAGAAGGGAGTGTGGGCTTGGAGTCAGAGTACCTGAACAACCAGGCCCAACTCTGCTCTGGCAATAGATTTTGGAAAGATTTGCCTAGCCACTTCACACCTGTTCACTTGTAGTAAGATGATACTTCCAGCCTTTACCATGGAAGCTTGTGATGATTTTTGTGGAAGTGAATTGGAATCACAAGCACCTATCTGGCACTCCAATTCTTGTCCTTTAATACTGAGTTCAAAAGTCACCAGTTTCTTCCTCATGAACCTTTCAGTATCTTCTTCACTGATTTGACACATAATAACCAGAGCTTGCCTATTTCATGATATTCCTCTCATTCATATTTCTGCCTTGGTAACAATTAACCACTAAGATTGAGAAAATTCTAATGGGTGGTTAAGATGAGGATCGACTGTACTCTTTGAACACATTTTAGAGTAACATGAAATTCTCAAAATTTAAGGGAATCTCAGTATGTACAACACCCCTTTGTGTGCTAAGCATGGAACATGTACTATTTGACAGGGCTGACTGAAGAGCTGTACTCTATAGTGGTAATATCCCCATCCCAAGCACCCAGAACAAAGGAAGATAGGAGGATATTATGCACTTGAACATTGCTAATTCTGAAGACAATGTTTAGATACTATTTATTTTGCTTGCAGTCAAAACCTAAATTAAAACTATCCTCTTGCACACACACACACACACACACACACACACACACACAAAAAGCACCCCCACACACGCGCACATACACACCCACACACACACACACACACACACTGATCTTTATTTTTGCTTTGTTGGTTTCAGATTCCTTTTCTTGATGTCTGCTTCTTTGTCCACTGACTTATTTTGTCAGATGTGGGTCACTGTAGTGAGAGATCAGGTTTAGAAGCTTAGATTTCTTTTGTGAAATGCAAACAAATATTTACCATTTTTTTACTTTGTTTTGAAGTTATCTGAAAAATAAATGTTTAAGGCTCCTAAGGGAGTCTTTGCTAGCATATATCCAACCCTCTTCCCACATTTTTATTGCGGGATCTGTGAGTAATGTTTTGTACAAGAACAGGTGAAGACCATAGACTTTGGGAGAGTCCTGGGTTCAAGTTAGCTCCATCACTGATCACACAAACATCTGCGTAACCCAAGTATTACTTAGTCTTTTAAAATAGTTTCTTAATTTTTGAAATAAGAATAATTATTCATAGTTCAGATAGTTTTTCATTGCTAAACTATTATTTAAATTTTTGACTATAACTGTTTTCTATATGTTGACTTATATGTGTAATATCTTCCAAACAAGACAAGATTTCTCCAAGATTTATGGACCAGATGTTCCTTCTCTCTGAACTCAGTACTAACTTGAAACATGCTATGTGCATTGGGATAGTGTTTGTCCATCATGTCCCAGTAAAATAAGTGCTTAAGGTGTCCCACCTATTGACCTATCAGCTACCAACCTTGGGGTAGCCAACAGAATCAATACATTTTTGAAAATTATTAATCGTAATGAATTAAATGGAATAGATTGTCTAAATATAGTATCTCAGCAATTATTATATGAATGGAACTCTGTGAATTATTAAAAACAAAAGTGGCTCACATTTGCATAATATTCATCAGTGTATTTCATACCTAGACCAACCTCTTGCACGTACATGTGCAGAGCCATGTTGAGTGGCCACTAACATATACTGAATGACCCCCAGTTGACTTTCTGATGGCCAATTTTAAGAACAAAGCAAATAAAACAAATAAGACAGAATAAATGATGAACAAAGGGAGAAATTTGACTATGAAGGAGAGAAGAAGAAACTGGCATAGACCACCATGGCAGGGGCCTCGGCTTTTGTTTATTGGGTTTGTTGATTTTATTACTTATAATTTCTGTTTTAAGATTATTTTCTTCATAAAATCACTATATAAAAAATTTAAAATGGTACTTGTTATGCTAATATATGCAAGAAAAATGCAGAATATTGTTTTTAAGATAACACATTAGAGCCAGGCATGGTGTTGGCACACATCATGGTCCTTAGAAGGCTGTTGCATGCAGAACAAATCTTTTAGGGAATAAATAGAATTTTAATGGCTTCTAAAAAAATAAAGTATGTTACAATTTAACAGTGGTTTTCTAAATGTTTTTTCTTTAGATTTGTTTATGTTGTGGTTATTATCGTGTTTATGTGTAAAGAATTTATTACAAATTTAAAATATTTCAATTCCTCCAAAATATCATATACAAAGAACCCTTTTCAGATAGTGGTGTGTAAAGTTAAGAAGGAAAGGAGAAAATTGTTTCTCTTTACTTTGTCTCCTGATCTCAATCTCTTTTTTGTCTCCTTGTTTATTTCTAATTTAATTTTAGAGGGCTGTTGAAGTATCAGACTAATGTACAAACTCATCCTCCTGGCTGCATCAATAGCAGTCGAACCCAGTCTCAGGATATTTTCTTACCGGAATACCTCTCAGAAAATTTTCATGGACCTTTGCCTGAAGGATTTTCAAAACCAGAAGAACGTAACCAGAAAACATTTGTGAAGATATGTCTGGAAGAGCCCAGGTTCCAAGCTCATTTTCCACAGGTCAGAATGATTCTGTGAATGATCTCTGCAAAGTCTGTGGTTTCATATGGTTGACTGATATTGCATTACATGCTCATGAACATGTGCTTTTATGTATTATAAGACAGTTTGGGATGTATCAACAGAAAGTTGGTACTTATTATTCCACAAGTCACCTGATACATCACAACAAAAGACGTATTTGAGAAAATAGTAAACCATCTAATTATGTGATCTTTGTGTAATAGCCTTCTAGTACTTGTTACCAGAGAGATCATTAATGTAAATTCTGAACCTATTGAGAAAAACAAGGATAAAGCAGAAAATAACTACTAATTATTATGTTGTAATACATCGAATGCTATAAATAATAAATGTAAACTTAATTTGTTGAATGCTTAATATGATCTTCTAGTCACTGTGCTGAGTTGTCCTGTAGGCAAATTTTTTTCTGTATTAACTATTAACCATTGAAGCAATACTATTATCCTAAATTTTCTGATGAAGGAATTGAGCTTAAATACGTACCATGACCAAATGGTTTTAACCAGTAGGTGGAAGAGACAAGCATAGAAAATATTCTTCTTGGAAAGTTTCTGTAAGGATTCAGCAAATAATTCAATAAGGTCGGGCATCTCCCCCCTTTAGCCAGGGAAACCATCCATATGTGAGTCAGATTCAATATTCTGCATATCACTGGAGGAGAGGGATAGTGATGTGACATCTGCTTAAGAAGAGAAGAAAGAACATTAAAGAAGCTGGGATTAGTTTGTAGATGACTTCGTAGTCAGAGTGTCAGTTTTCTATTTTTTATTTTTT